AGACTAATGCATGCTGGGATATAGGCTCAAGCTCCCCAATAACCCTGAAGAGGTTGATGGACGGATGTGTTTGAGAGATCTACGCAGAGGAAGAAATAGCGGCGATCGAACCGGAGGACTCTCTAAATGTGTGTGACATTAAGTCATTTCATCCTCCATTATTTCTAATTCATTATTTATTGATCCACTGATTCAAATTACTGCTCTCACATAAATATCAGTGCCGTACATTTTTCCACACCGAATTCAAAACATTATACTTTTGTATAATTCCTGGTCTCAGTATTTAACGAGACTTTTCTTCCTGCACATAATACATGTAATTATAGTATGTAGATAATAAATGTACTCATGCATCATGCTGTGGTTTGTGCAGGTGTTTCTTTCTATAGTGTACGACACATCAGTGAACATGAAAGAAGAACCCAGTACATCTGCTCGCTGGTCTAGTTTCTTCTCTTTGTCCTTTGAAAGTGCACACCAGTGCTGAAGAAAGCTTTGCAGACAACGTGCAGGTTACTGTTGTGTTCAAGCAATCACGCCCTGAAGGACACTATCCGCTGTGATTATGATTCCTCACTTTCACATTGCAGATATTGCCTCATCATAGTGGACAAAGCACAAAAGGTCCTCTCAGGTCCTCTCAGGTCCTCTTGCCATTTCCCCTCCTCTCAAAGAAGTAATCACTTTTTAAGAATAAAGGCAACGAGATGTTCTGCGCTGATTAAAGTACGGAAGTCTGTCATTAGACATCAGACGGTGTATTCTTACACCTGAGGAGGAGAAGGGCAGGTAAATATTATCATGAACCTCATTTGAAATCTGTTTGTTTCTTTGCTGGTAACAAATTCAACTGAATTTCATATTAAATACACACATGTACTGTATATAAAATCGTTCTTTTCCTGCAGGCATCAACGTGCCTTCACTGCCCTTTGCAGCAAATATAATTAGAAACTGATTATGATCCCTTTTAATGTTAAAGCAAGAGTTAATAGCATGTGCAGAAATGATTCCAGACACAAAGTTTAACCAAATTGGAAACACGATGTATCAGTGGGGTTGAATTCTAAGAGTTTGTGAGAAGAAGATTATTATCGTCAAGGTTAATGTTTGTGTGATTCGGCACATCGAGAAATCCCACGTGGTTAAATGTGATTAGTCTGTTTGCCTGAAGGCTGTCACAAACAAAGCAGTTGTTATCTCTGCACTGAGGGCTTTGTTCACTCATTCTACACGAGAAAAGGAAAAACTACAGCAAATCTAAAGCTTTAGATACAGATAGTGAATCATTTGGCTAAACCTGAGAGCCAGACTAGCTCTGTGTGTGATACATAAGTTCTGTATAAGTGTTTGAGATTTTAGGTAGACTGGCTCAGGTGACTCTGACAACATGATAATGAAGGAATTATTGAATTATTTTGAGAATCAAACAATTGTTTTCAGGATGTATTATACAGAAACATGCCAAACATTTGCTGGTTCCACCTTCTCAAATGTGACAATTTAATGCTTTTCTTTGTCGTGTTTGATAGTAAACTGAATATCTTGGGGTTTTAGACTTTTGGTCGCACAAAACAAGACACAAACATTTGCATTCTAGTTTAATCTGCAAATTATTTTTTATTAATGAAGAAAATAGTCACTTTATTAATAAAAATACATACTGAATTTATTTTTGAAAGTCGGGAATTTTAGCTTGAAAAAATACCCAAACAATGAATGGATAAACAATGTAACAAGATGAGATGTGCAGTGATTGCTTGATCAGTCAAGTTCACTTCACAATAATTCATATTAAGTAATAATTAATTTAGAACCGCTCATCAAGATGTTAGTTTAAAGTTGATATTGGCCCACTGGACGTGTCCTACAAGAGTCCAAGGGTCCTGCTATAATAACTTTAATCTGTGCTTAAACAGTCCGTTATTAGCTAACTGAGTGAAATGACAGATGGACAGGTGGATAGATGGAGGCATGGCATGACATTAGTACCTGCTACCTTCCAAGTACAGGGTTAACGTTGGCAGGTACAAATTAAAGGTCACCTGTCACCATGGCAGGTTTTCCTTTTCGTTTCTGAAAAGTGCATTCTAAGACACTGTCTTCGCTAAACCTTCTCGCTGGAACCCAAAATGGTCCTCGCTCGTTACCCAAAGGTTTAAAAAAAACAAGTGTTGTAGAATGTAAACGTGAGTTCTGCTGAGTTGGAGTCAGAGCTCAGTCGGACCGTAGCAGGCTGCCAGTCCTCTAATGTTCATACTGTAACAGTGTGGAGGACTTGAACAGCTCAACGGCCAGGAACCGCCTGCTGTGCCGCTCGGTGGAACACCTTGGAGGTCTGAGTTTTTAGCTGAAGATGTAACTACCCTTAATTTATGAATGTGGATTATCACTGTTTCTCATTTATTTTTCCTGTCCTATGTAACTTTTGCTTTATACAACCAATGTTTTTATTTTTTAATTTTAATAATCAGTCACAGCAAAAAGGAACAGATTCAGAAGGACTTCAAAGATGGAGATGGTTGAGGAGACACTCTGCTGCCTTCCTGTACCGCCCTCTGGTGGCTTGAAGAAGAATTGCCTTTTCACCACAGAGCCACCAGCAAACACTTAAACTCCCAAATGCAATAAAGGCAAAACCGTTTACCTATTCAACCCATTGGTGCAGACACTTTAACAGCTTACAATGTTTTGTAATACACACACAAACTAGAAGCACAAAGGACAACATTAGCCGTGCATTTGTACATACAACTGCAAACAAGAAGCTACACTTTCCATGTTCCAACTGCAAAGGATTGTCCTGTGTAACGTCAACTCTTCAATCAGTATCCTAAGTGAGCAAAACGTTGTATTTGTTTACCAGAGTCATTACCTTTATACATGTTTTAAAGTAAAAAATGATTGACTTTAAGCAGCCATGTATTAGTTCCAGTAATTCAATGCCCTATGCCATGATACATGATATAATATTGTGGCAACGCTTTATTTCACAGGTTCCGAGGACATTTCTTGAAGAGAGCTATGCAAGTTGGTACTCCAGGAAGAATGTACAGTTAAATATTAGCTGCCTTCTAAATCAATAACAAAGTATGAAATACATTTTTCCCATATTTTGCGTAAATAGACCAATCTGCTCCACAAAACTGCCAAACCTAGTCGCACATTGTGTCAAGATTGCTCAATTAAAAATACATGTTTGTTTTGTTTTTTTCACTTTGACGGAGAAAAAGCTACCAGGGACACATTTAGATGTTTACATTCTCATGATGCAAATTCAACCAACCTTTTGAATACTTGCAAGTATTCAAAAGGTTGGTTCAGGAGGTTCAGTAGCCACCCTGCCTTTCATACCTCAGCCCCTTCACCCTCTCTTTGATGTGTTTCAGCTGGTGGTGATGGGGGGGGCTGGCAGGGAGACATTTATTTTCTCAGTGTGCATGCATAGCAGTTGTCTTGCCTTTCTGTGGGTGGTTTTCTATGTGTTTACTTGTAAACCAGCGTGTGTTCATTATATTCACGCAACTGTTAGTGTGCATGACACGCATGCACACATATAATTTGACACTAATTGAGGTCCCTGTTGAGCATGGGCACACAGGGGCGTGTGTGTGTTTGTGAGTCTGGAAGGCAGCATTGTTCACAGTGGTGGTGAAGGACACATCTCCATGGCCTGTGTACCTTTCCCCTCCGCCTGCCGCTATAAATAGCTTCCAATGTTTTGTGCAGTTTGTGTTTGCCACATTTGCTTTCAGAGAAATGCTATTTTACCTCCTCACGTAGGAGTGAGGAGGTATAATTTGTCAAAAACGGAAGGCAAAGTCACCGGTGATGGGAAGTCACCTCCTCCGGCGGCTCATATCCTTAAATCCCTGTGAAGGAAGACAAACAGCATCAGTTTACTCGGCAGAGCCAAAGACAACCAATGCTGATATTAATTTAACTGCTATTTATTCATTTTCTTAATTTATTCATTTTGTGGACAACAGTTCTATACATTGCCTTAATACAAACCAATTCCAATTTGTTTAATGCTTTGCAATCTAATTTGAGACTCCACAAACTCCTTGCATCATGCAAAGACAGTCTCCCCCCCCAAGCACCTCATCCAGACCAGCTCATGGTCCCCCAGCCCACCTCAGATCCATCTACTGAACGACCAGATAGTCCTCATGTCACACAGACAACACACCAAAGCCCCAATGGTACGCTCCATTCAGACAGAAGTACATCTGTGTGTAATGTGGTCACCCAGAGTGAAGTTTAATTGTTCAGCACTTTCCGTATCATGTGCACCACCTAGTGGTCTGATGGTATAGTGTTTGTAATAAAGCTGCCAACATTGTTTTATATAACCTCCAGTTAACCCTGCATGCTACTACATAATCCCGCTCCACATACAAACTGTCTAATCTCTGTATTTCAACTCAGATTAAGAGAGTTAAATACATTTCACAAGTACCATGCTTGTGTACAATTTTGAGGTACTTATTTCCATTTTATGCTACATTTTACTTCTACTCAACACATTTTGAAGGGAAATATTTTACTTCTTCCTGCACTACATATACATTTGCCAGCTTCAGATTACATAATAATCATACAACATACAATGCATTAAGTATTACACTGAGGGTTTCCAGTCTGGTTGGCTTGCGACCCCTTACAGAAGAAAGCAGCATATATTTTGGACCTTTGGTGATTTTCCCTCCGAACTTCTCAAATGGTTAGATTACTATTTGAGGCCTAAAGAGGTCAAACACTGCAAATATTTCACAACAAAAGCCAAAGTTAATGAATAGTCCTAAACATGAATACATATTTGTATAGCAGAGCTTCACATCTCTCAAATGGTCACATTTTGTGGCCCACTGGAGGGGTTCAACAAACTACCAAAATCTACATAAAATAATTAGACAGTTAAACAATGCGTATGTATTGATGCAATTATTTAAATATGTCAGATATGTATAATTACACATTAGTCACAGGGGGCATTTTTCTGCAGGAGTTTTACTTTTAATGGTTCAAGAACATTTTGCTGATAATTCTGTACTTCTACTTCTTGAATGCGGACTTCTTTTATACAGGTGTATTGGTAACTTTAAATACGCAAAAAGGAACCGAATATTTCTTCCACGGCTAATCTAACAAAAGAAAAGTGACAAAAAAAAAAAAAGCATTGTGGATCGATGTTAAAGCCTGTTATTCATTGAAAACATTTATTACATTTTTATGATGCAAACAACAGCAAGTCCCACCCTTGTTGGGACAGCTCGTCATGAGGGAATGAAAGAGACACAAAGGGGACAGGGACAGAAAAAGTGAGTATTATGCGCAATTTCATCATTTCTGTTAAAAAAAACAAAACAAAAAAAAACATGACAATCAGCTCTCCTCCAAAATTTTGGCATCTTTTTTCCCCTCCTGTTGTACTCTCTGGAATAATGATAATTAAAAATCAAAAGAACAAGGCATGCATAATAGTTTCTGGTAATGCAAAGGATACCAGCTACAAATACAAAATCCATGTACGGTGTTGATGTACATTTCATATATATTATATATGGTCCCTTTCTTAGAGGTGTTTCAGGCCTATCTGTTCCCACTGTGGGACTGTGCCCTCCGTTATCTACACTTGGTCACTAGGTTCAACCTGTACAAAGGTCTGTGCCGGAAAATATATCTGTCAGTGGACTTCTAACATCGACGATTACTAGCTGTTACGACCATGTGTTACCTCCTCCCGTCATCTCTTACTGCATGTTATTATCACGATATTTACCCCCAAGTTCCTTTTACTTAAATAGTTTTCTTTGCATCAACTGACCAATGTGCTATCTACACGATTTCTTCAAACTTCGCCCGGGTTATAGCACGTATTATCTTGAATTAAAATGATTCTCCCACCTGCTTTACTACCACCCCATGCTTCTCTTTTAAAAAGGGGAGCACACAGCCTGCTTGGATCCACTCAATGCTACTGTGCCCACAAGATAGAAGTCTGGAACTAAAGTATTTGAACTTTTTAAGTAACCTAAAGAAATTAATCTAATTTCTGATACGCTAAGATGAATGCACTGGTCCATTTTAATAAATGGGTGAAACAGCCACACGACTATAGTGAGGGCTGTATACGCGGCCACACAGTTAACTTAACGAAATTATGTAAGAAAAAAGAAAAGAGAACAAACCAAAACGTGTTGATTAAATACTACGTTGAATGAATGTCTTTACTGTTAAAAAAACGGTACTGCAATGTATACAACTATGTTGCTCTCTCTCATTGCTCAAAATTAGTTGACGAAGGGAGGGAGGGGGGGGGCATAAACCAATGGATTCATGTACAGATTTACAGATATAATGCATCTATCATCACACTCAACAGATGGCAGAAAGGGAGGGAGGGAGGGAGCGAGAGAGGGCAGCAAACGACAGACACGATATAGAAAAGATTCATCCGTTTGAATTTGAACACCTTTTGCTGTGGAACCAATGCTATGTTACTCTCTTAGAAAAAGACAGAGAGATGGAAACGAGAGAGAGTGTGTGCGTGCGCGCGTACAGGTATGAATTCTGTAAGTGCGGAACCAAATGTTCGACCAATAAAAGTCTATTGGGATCAAGTTGTACTGGTTTCTCTGACGGTGGAGGCAGACTTGTGTCTAACCAAACATGGGGCTGAGTATGATGGTACTGGTGGGTGTCTTGAGTGGCCGGGTTTAGCACCCCTCCCGATCGATGGTGGTGGTGGTGGCGGCATCGGTGTGCTATGGGGGCGTGGCTGCTTTAGTCGATGTACTGGGAGAGCCAGCGGAAGCCCTCGCCGTAGCCCTGCCTCTTCAACACACTGCACATGAACACTTCCAGTGGTCTTGTGTTCAGCTCCTTCATGGCAATGGTGCCCTACGAGAAAAAAGCAGAAAAATAAAGTCACACTAAATCCACTTCTTTTAATTAGCAACATGTACGTTAAGATATAACTATAAAAACAAAGACAACCTGTATTTGTCACTCCAAACAGTGAGAGTTGTTATTTGCAAGATCTAGAGCTCACTCAGAGTTTAAATTAATATTTTAAATATGTAAATGTGTCGCGTTACTTTGCTCGTTTAACTTGGAATTCCTGCAAGACGATACTTAAACTTTTCATAATTTTTTAAGCTGTCAAATGAACCTGCCAGCAGTATTTTACGTCACCACGACTGCAGGGACTTGATTCTGCTTTGACACCATAAAGTGAACAACTTTTCAAAGTCAGTGTTTTAGGGTGAGAACCCATCTCTCCGTAGTCCACCGCTGGATCTTCATAAACACTTCTTTTTCATGTCTTTGATAAAATGTCCACAGATAGAAGGTTTTGTCCCGACCGATTAGTGCCGTCTACTCACCTTTCCTGTCGTCTGTCCGTACAATCCAAAGAGTTCTCTCAGCTTCTCCTCGCTGATGGCCTCTGGTCTGTCGATCTTGTTGCCCAGGATCAGGATAGGCACGTTTCCGATAGTCTCATCTGTCATTAATGCCTGATAGGAAAGACTGAGTATTACTACGTGGCTTTCATATTTAAGTTGAACAATAAAAAACTACCCTCAGATTCTACTTTGTGACACATCATCGAACTGTTGTTTGAATATTTAAGACCTTCCAGAAGTGATTTTGTGAGCATTGAATTTACTTCCACTGTTCCTACACAGCGGAATCTCACTTTGTACATCGCAGAGAACTGAAAGAAGTGGACTGAGCCGTGTGCCTCCTTATTCATCCGACAAAAATGCCACCAAACGGTGTTTTGTAGTTCATGAGAAGACATTTGTACCTCCTCTGTACACACCTACCTACAGTACGTCTGCTTTTAAAAGACATTGAATCCGATTGAAACAGGATGTAAAAAAATCCCCAGCCGCAGAGACAGTGGGGGGGGGACAGTTTGCGCTCTTTTAGTGTTTCAGACGGTGTGTTTGGCTTTAAGAACTATTATTACACACACTGCTGAGTACCTCTCTGTCACTGCAGTTGAGTTTAATTTAGCTTTTTGGCAAGATTGTATGACGAGTCTTACAAAACAATTTTGAGCTGATAGCCTGCGTACAGCGGCACTTGTTTTGAAGTTGAAAGCGTATTTTACGACGCTGTACAGCCCATCGGTGTCGAGACAGAAAATACTGATTTGAATCACTTCTTTGTAATACATTAATTTGGTAGGCAGCATTTGTCTTCAGTGAAAAGCCCTTTTACTGTAAGTTTTTATACCAACTCAACTTTGCTGCTGCGGTAAACAGCAGTCATTGATAGTTTAGCGGCATACCGAGTGCTCTACAGTGCGGCGGTGACCCCGCAGGTACCCGGTACTCACATCAAGTTCTGTTTTTGATTCGGCCAATCTGACGAGGTCTGCACAATCCACAAGGAAGACAATACCGTTGATGGCCGGGAGGTAGTTTTTCCACACTCTGCGGGCTGTGTGAACCAACACAAAAACAAACGTGAGTCTGAGTTCACTGACATCACAGGGATATATCGTATTGGACTTATGGAAGCAAGAGAACTGACAGGAGAGAATATCCTTTACCAGCTGCACAAATTGCATGCAAACTGCTAATATCTCAATCATTTCATTAAACCACCATACTGACAGTGTTCTATCGGAGCTTCACTAACACCATGTGACCAACACAACCCGAAAACATCAGCATACACAACAAACACACCTTGTGCGTGGCCTCCCAGGTCGAAGGTGGTGAAAGTCATGCCAGCAATCGTCAGCTCCTCCGAGGCTGCAGGAAGAAAGAAATGATGTCAACAAACCTGAAAAATCAAGTGAATTTATACATGAATCTAACCAAACTCATTACACGTGGTTATAGTTACAGCTCATACCAACAGTGCTTTGTTTAAAAATAGTAAACATAATCGACTATGAATAATCTGGCTACATCTTTTTGGCATTGGTGGTTTTCAACACATAACTGAATGAGCACGTGTGTGGATATACGTGTGTGTGTGTGTGTGTATATGAGAGTAGCACCGACTCACTTGGATGTAAAGTTGGCACATGCTGTCCCAATCTGTCATCTTTGAGCATGTGCAGTAGCGTTGTTTTGCCAGCATTGTCCAGGCCAAGAAATACTAACTTGCCAGATTTCTTGTACAGTCCTGAAACAAAGCCAGATATGTTTTAGATGGGCTTCATTATATAACATACAAAATGTCATCACATGTGAACTCAGGTGATGAGTCAGCTGGTATTGAAGGTTTTGCACAAAGGGGACACTTGACAAAAGAGTTGTCATGTTAAGACTTGTTCTCAGGCATGCACTGGATATACAATCCTACATAGTTTCTGTGCTCCACCTGTTGATTTTGCCGATCTCTAATCTTTATTTGACTTAAATGTAATAAAGAAC